TTTATTTTATTTTAATAATTTTAATGAACATTTACAGAGACCCTGGATTTCCATTCATTCATTGCTGCACTTTGTGGTGTTGTTTGTTTTTTTAAAAAAATGCTGCTGTAGGGAGTGTTGACGATAAATCGATGAACCATGAAATATTACTATATTTTTGGTAGGTGTTTTCAAGTGGACTCCATCTCATAGGGACTCTGGGGGCAACAGATCTGAGCCCTGCTCTGTCCTGTGCCTTTTTCTCCATGTCTCATATGTTCAAGCCCTCTGTTAAGGTCAGTGGGTCAGTCCAACCCTTCATAGGGTCATCTTAACTGCATTTTTTTGAAGGCTGAGTTTTACTTCACTTTTAATTCTTGGGTTCCTGGGGTCTGGCATCTCTGTTACCAATTCAGAAGCTGCTTCCTGGCAACCTGGAACTCGCTGGCCCCATTGATCAGCTTCTTTTTAGGAAAGATCTGTTGAGAAAGTTCATTCATTTCCACACAGTCTTGAGATACAAGATAAGACAGGCGTGTGCTGCATGGAGTTTGAGATATGGGGTGATTGAGAAATCTTGATGGGGTGTTTCTCCCCCTCCCAAGAGACACCGCCTGATTGAGTAAGAAAAGATTGTTAGAAAAACAGGTCCGGTGTGTTATTTCTGGGAAATCCCTGGGATGCAGAGAATGCTATGTTTGTGGTTCCATGTAATTACATCTTTCTTTGGCTAAATTCTCCCTTCTAGCCATCACACTTTACACACCCCTGCTGGTCTTTCAATCAGTTCATGAATGATGTTTGGGTCCTGTTCCAACACCTTAAGCATGAGTCCTGTTTTTGGGTTTTTTTTGGGTTTTGTTTTTGCTTTTTTTTGGGGGGGGGTGGGTCTTGAGAAACATCTACTGTTTTTACTTTCTGGTAAAGATGGTCAGTCCAGTTCAGTCCCCAACCTGGACAATGTCCACCCCACCATAAACATCATTTGTGTTTATTTAAGCACGCTCCAGGATTATTATTATTTTTTAAAAT